CGTGGATGGTGTGACTGTGACATCAAGTGATTCAGAGGCTGAGATCAAATTCAAGGCTGTTATGGATTCTTTCATTTTTTGTGAGGCGACGAATGAGCTTGGAAGGGATATACGCAAAATAAGGATATCAGTGAATCGTAAGTAAAAATCGTACTTGCTTTTCATTTCGTTGCGTTACGTTATTTCCAGCAACCCCTTGCCTCTTCCGTTCTATTTTAAAATTTAGCTCATTCTTCTTGAAAGAAACCTATTTGTAATTTACTGTTTTCTATTTTCTCGAGATGCGATAAACGCGAAAACTGGACACACGTGTCAGTGCGGTGGTTGTGGCGGTTGTGCTTTGTTCACTGCGGTTTATCATAGACTGTTCAAAGGCTCCCTTTTATGACGCAAACTACAACGAACAGCGAGCCAAGGGAGCGTAAGCGTCAAACTCAAGGAATGAATCGCGCTACCGTTTCACATTCTCGTCAGCTCGCGCGTTCTTCAGTTCAGAATACATGTATGAGAAAATATAGGATCGGGAACATTCGCGTCTGTCGCCATCCTTTCACTTTACGTCAAGAAAACAGAGAGTTTGAGGGCAGTCTAACGTCAAAGAAACTTTTGAGAAATACCTTTCAATTTATTTTTCTTATTCGACTTTATTTACCGCATTAACCTCGCTAAGTTGTTTCTATCTTATAATCTTTAGAAACCGGAGCAAGGTACTTGCTGATGAAGGTGAAGTTTATAAAAGAGGAGTTCAACGAAAACCTGAACATCAGAGAATCTAAAGAATTCCAGGACCTCTCCGAGAGGATAGTTTCGCAGGTAAAAGAAAATGAAAGCTAACAAGTTAGGATACATTTATCTGTATGTTGCATTTTTCAGACAACAATAGTATATTTTAGTAGTAATAGTCAAAGATTACGTTGTGCGTTCGACCGATCTCAATCCAAAAAAAGCTCTGCTCTCCTTCAGCAAGTTGTTAATGATGTTATTTACCCTGGCAAAATCTGTGGGGATGCCAAAGGCGCACTCCAGACGAAGCTTGTCCAGTACAGTCTCACTCCCATCTTGTTTGGGAAAGAGTCCTACGTTTAAAGTGAAAATATGTAATAGGGTAGTTAGTTAACGTAGTTCTAACACCAGAATATTTAGTATGATGGAATTCTAATGTATGACAGGTTACGGTGCTGTTGGTTGTCGCTTTTCGAGAAGTTAAGTCTAAGCGTTCTTTCTATTCGTTAGGTGCGGTCCGTGTTAGGTTCTCTCTCAAATTTCCTTGGTTCCAGTGTGGCGAGCTTTCGGTATGTATGTATATGTTTATTTAACTATCGATCATTCGCTACTTTCACCTTCCCATAATACACCTTGCTTACCTCCCAAACGTTTTGCATAAGCATTGTTTCCAATTTCTCTTGGGATTTACAATCCTCCCAAGAGAACTTGAAAACAATACTTATGCAAACAAGGTGTATTATGGTTAATGTGAAAGTAGTGAATAGAAGCACTTCAGTGTGAAGCACAGTGTATAGTTAGGGCGACAGGCATGTTCATGTAACACAATCTTCGTTGTAAGAGAAACCTGTTCTGTTACTTAGAAACGAGGCTTGTAAGATATATATTATTTCTGTGTGATGATTTGAATCGGATTTTCCCGCGGTATAAAATACCGCCGTCTTAATTGACCAATCACAGAGCGAGAGCTTGTATTAAAAGGAAGATGTTTCCGCCATCGGGACTACTTAGGCCTCTAAATCGGGGTTTCGTAAGTAGGAGTCTTTCACAAAAGAAAAATTATATTTCTCAACTTTATTTTATGAAGTATAAAAAAAAAAGATAAAAAAATAAAATAAAATATATAATATGAACTGTAAGCTTGCTGCGTTAAATCTGAGGCGGCCTTTTTTTTGTTTTCTTAGTAAAAACGAGGCTATTTTAAATCTAAATTAATAACTTAAACTTATGTTTCCAGACCAGGTTCAGTAAAAGCAGATATACTGATAAAGACAACCGCGGACGGAGGTGACTCAGTTCAGAAAACACTTCAAGAAGAACTCAACAAAGCCAAGCTGGGAGACATACCTGTAGATCGCTACTTGTACTCCTTTGAGCAAACACAAGGTACGAAATAAGAGATCGGAGACCCGAAAATTATAAAAGGCAAAGCAGAGAAGAACGGGAGAGAACCGAACCAGTACTAGGAAATACTTTCTGGCCAATCAGAAGCGAGCATTTCAATTTCTTCTTGAACTGGTTCAGTATTAGAGGAATTAAATATATCGGAGCCATCCTGTTGTTGCTTTCGCCCGAAATGAGGGGTAATTGAGGTCANCCCCCCCCCCCATACGCCCCCCTCTTAAACGTCCCGTCCCGTCTCGAGGTCGACTCTAAAATGTTACAAATAGCTGGCAACCTATAAAATGTGGATGCAGAATATTTCTGTAGAAATGCTAGACGTTCGTTATTTATAGGATACTTTATCGATCTTTGATTGATTTTCTCCAATCAGCTTGCCCGTCTGTTTATGAGAACGTCACGTGGAATAATGCAGCTGATGGTGCTACCGATGTCCAGCCTTGTCCCAGGGGACTCCCAGGTTAGTTTATTTGCCCATTTCAGAGCTATCCCTAAGCCTCCTTATTAAAGCGAATCCTAGTGAACAACCGTTCTTCTGAAAATAATTAAATAGGCCTGCCCTAAGCCTCAGTTTCAAAGCGAGGCCAAGTGCGAAACCATTGATATGAGAATGGGTTTTTACAGCAAGGAGCCCAAAATTGTGACCGCTTTTGATTTATTCACATTCTTTCGTACAGATTTAATCCAATCAGAAGCCAGCTGGAAACTGTCCTCGACTTCTGATTGGTTAATGTCTTCATGAAAGAATGTGAGTTAATTGAAGGAGGTCACGCAAATAAAACTCATTTTTGCAAGAATGGTTCTGCACTTAGCCTCGTTTTGAGAGCGAGAGTTTTTGAAACTTGGAAATGGTCTGATAATTTCCACCTCCTGATCTTTATTTGCAAAGTAATAAAGATCAAGAGGAAATCCTCCCGAACTATCAGAATATCTCATTTTTTTCTTCCATCAATTAAATTCGATTAACCCGGAAATTGGAAAGTAGAAAGTGTTACTCATTGTCTTCTTTATTCACCAGGTTTCGCTCGGCGCAACTGTTCGTCTGGGATCTGGTACTATCCGGACTACACAGATTGTAAGACCAGTGACTTTCTCAATCTCAAAAATGAGGTACGCGAAAAATAGTCCTATATATATTCTCCTGTAAAGAAAGAAAAGAAAAAATCATGATAATAATAATAGTAGTAGTAATAATAATAATAATAATAATAATAATAATAATAATAATAATAATAATAATAATAATAATAAACTGTGGATTGTGGGATCTTCTGGATGTAAAGAATGAAGCAGGACTCTTGCTCGCGATCATGTCATTCAGGCCTCAAACCTACGCGACAAGACCGCAAGGTCTTGTGGATAGCAGTAAATCCCTTAACATTTGGTCATTGCTTCACGGCATAGAACCTCACAAACATTTACCTTTGTCGTTTTATGACAAAAAAATGGGTTTCATAACTGAGTTTGGGATTTTCACTTATTACCTCGCGGTCTTGTGGCTGCGGGTTTCCCACAACGTTACCTGAAAAAGCTGTTCAGTTGGACCTCTCACAACGGCCACCCTGGGGACAGACGAAAGTGGCCGTTGAGTCCTTTAGTTGCTCCCTCGCTTAGTTATTATTTTTTTTGTTAATGTAACTAAGTGGAAGCATCTAAATAAATATAAAGAAAGAAAATGTATGGACCGTACACCGAAAACAAGTGGCCGTTAGTTGTAAAGAAGTGGCCGTTAGTTGAGGTTGGACTGTATTTGCCTCCTTCAAATGGATCAACAAGTATTTTCATCGTTCATAAGACATGTTATTCGTTGCAGATAAACCAATCAGTGTCTATCGAAAATAACAAGGATAAAACAGAGAAAGATATCCTAAGAGGTCTTAAAGATCTCTTAAACTTGACAACGCCGAACGAAAACTACGCAATACTCGCTGGAGACCTCGTCACAAGCACAGAAATACTAAAACTAGTTGTGGATTACACGACACTTGCAAGTGAAGACAGTGTAGGCACTATCGAAGAAGTAAAGGTAAAAAAATCATCCCTGCTACTCCTAGCTGTTGTTAAGTAAGTGCGTAAGTGTTTTATTGCTAAAGTAAGTGAGTAAGTACGTTTGGGCGTACGTGATGGGACTGAGTGAGTGAGCAAGCAACTGAGTATTTTTTTGGTAATGGAAATGACTCTGCAATTGCTGCACCTTGCCTTCATGCTGAGGCAGGCTGAGTACTTAAGGAGAGCAAGGATGGCGCCGGCAGTGGTGAGAGCACTCGCCTCCCACCTATGTGGACTGGGTTCAAATCCCGGCGTCGACGCTTTTGAGGGTAGAGTTTTCTTGTTGGTTCTCTCCCTTACACTGAGACGCTTTTCTCCGGGTACTTCGTTTTCCCCTCTCCTTATTATTTTCTAAATTCCAATTCTACCAGAGTTGGTAGACGAAGAACCACTTAGTGGATATGCTACCTCTAAATCGTTATTAATTAATTAATTAATTAATTAATGTATTTACAGTCCACTTGAACTTGAAGCTCAGGAAATAGTTCTTTGGTTTTTTGACATGATTATGATTTCTCGACAGAACATAGTCGAAGTGGCCAACAACATCCTTCATCAGCATAATGAACAGGAGTTTATCGTCGCACAAAAGGTATTTTAAAATTTGTCGGCTTCAGGTGTTAGGCCTTACCATAGTGGTTTTCTCTCGAGCCCTGAACAATTGAACACTGACACTCCGTACAGGAAAGTCCTCGAATTTCAGTGCTAACATTATCCAACCCAGATTCTCAAGTGCCTAAAAGAAGCAAACACAGAAAGACCTTCAGGATAAAATTGCTCATGTTGTGGATCTTTTTTGCAGTGAATGGAGTCCTTGAAAAATGGGAAATGTGTCCTTGAAAGTCCTTGAAAAGTCCTTGAATTTTTTGTCCAAAAAAAAGGGTACGAACCCTGAAACGTAACCTAAGAGTGAAAAGGGTTACTCTGGCTACATCCGCCCAAGGCAGGTGAAATAGAATGGCAATGTAGCCTGAGAAAACAGCCGACTTTTGGCGACGCCACAACTGGTTTCTCGACTGCCACTGCGGAAACTCCGTGCTGATGACGTGTTACTTCCCATATATGAGTAGTGGTTCTGTTTGTTTGAAGCAACTGGCCCTTGCGGGCACGATACAGGGAACGAACGAGAACTATTATTTGAGCTAACTTTCAAGTCACCAAGAACATTTTTGTCTCGGTTTCGTCTTCTTACTTGTAAGCAACTACTTCGTAACCTTTTTAAAGGCCTTCAATTGCTCAATCCGGAAAAATCTCGTAAAATATGTTAACATTTTCCGTAAACTGTAAGTCTGCATGTTGGACAAAACAACGAAGACAATGACGTCAGCTGTCTGACGTCAGCCTCCGACGGATCTTAAGACACAACCAACCATGTGCGCGCAGTATCTGGTACATTGAATATTCTTCCGTTTTTGTTCATGAACAAAAATCACGACCATGTATTTGCATTTGCCGAGGCTTATGATTGATGCTAAAGTGCCGAAGCTTCGACGACTGATATCGGCTCTTACACTTCACTCGTGTATTTTCTTTGCAGGTGTTACAGACGGCATCGAAGTTTATCTTGGCCCTCGAGAAATATGGTCTCCAATCTGCGCAAGTCGCTTCCATCAACGCAAAGGAGAATCTCAAGATATTTATCACTGAATATGTTGGTGAGTAGTAATAGTCTAAAACAATTTACTACCTTGAGTAGATCGTGCACACTCCTCACTCTAGTCCCTCCCTAGTTGACAGGGTTTCATACAGAGTCTTGAATTCTTGAAAAAGTTCTTGAAATTTGGTCAACAATTTTCCAGCCTTGGAAAAAGACTGGAAAATAGAGATAAAGTCTGGAAAAATTTTAAAAAGTTTTTTTTCTTCAAAGCCACAACAATTGCTATATAACTGATTTTTTTTTGCTTTGGTCAAATATTATTCAATCTCGGCCTCGCACGTTGCTAGTGCATCGTGAAAAAAAGTTGTTCCTGTTGTTTTGAGGTGTGTGTTGAACACCTATTTGATAGGATTGAATCTGTAAAAAGAATCTTTTGTTTTGGAAAGAGGTCTGGAAAAAGTCTTGAATTTTGGAGCCAAAAATCTTTACGAACCCTGAGTTGGGTAAATTACTATTTTTACTTTTTCTTTTCTTCTTTTTTTTTGCGCAACATAAAGAATCTAAACCATCCACTTCATCATCATTTAGCGACACACGCGAAAAATAGCTGCCCCAACACCTTGAGACACAAATCATATCTGCTTCATACTTTTAAAGAACGTAATCGCCTTCAGTAACGTAGACAATTTAGGAATTTCTTCCTTCTACCTCTCCTTTTTTGAAGTATGAACACATAGCTCAATTTTAATCGCAGGTGATCGACTATCGTCTCTGAATATAACATTCACTGATTTACGTTTTCTCATATTTAAAATTTTTACTTTGATAGTTATGGGTGCCGGCGTAGCTAATCCGGAGACGATATCAGAAGACGTCATATTTCCAAATTACAACTGGCCCGACTTAGCAAGGGTCAAAGAAGAGTGGAATGTGACCACCTTTGTGGTGTTAAGCACGCAGATGATCAAGGACATGAAAGATATGGAATCTTATAATGGTACGATAATTATATCAAAATAATCGAAACTGATTAGTTTTAGACGGTTGTTATTTGATTGCGTAATTAGCACATCTGTTGCGGTACCAGATTGTCTGGTTTGACCTGTCCCAGCACCAGGAGCTTTGCAAATGGAGAGTTAAAATTAAACTTCCTTGCCTATGCTAACCAATCAAATTGAAGCTAGAAACTGACTGGTCCAATGACCTTCACCAAGGTATGTTCAAGTGCCGGTTTTTTTTTTCATTTAGTTTGTTTATTTGTTTTTTTAATTGAACAGTCGGATTACAATTTTATTATAAAGATTTTATGGATGGCGTTCATACGAGTTTCACAATGGTTTAAATTGTTTTGCTTTGGAAAGTTTGCTGTAAGTTGATGTAGTAACAAGGTGAAATTAATGTACTTACATTTATTATTCTATTACTGCGTCTCTCGCATTTTGTTACTGACACAATCATTTGGCCAGTAATAGGACTTAAGTCCTACAACTCAGAAAATCGTGCTCGGACAGGTTGGAGTTAACTCCCTGAATTTTACTCAACTCTGTCCTACTTTGTCCAGTTACCATGGCTTACTATGTCGTAGCTTAAAAGTGTCGAAATTTCTCATCACTGGTTTATTTGTTATCAAAGCACTTAACATCTAACAATCTGATTTTATTTTTGTACCAGGTAAAGATGGAATCAAAATTGCGGCCTTTTTATACAGGACACTGACAAGGATTCTGTCGTTTGAAAGGTAAGTTTGGCGTGCGGGGCCGGCTTGTTCAAAGCTGGGTTATGATGATCCAGGGTTAGTGCGAAATTGGAATTAAGATATGAAAGCTGCTTAAAAAGCCAAATTCAGCTTAATTCTTTTTGTCTGTAATTTGATGACTGGATGATACTGAACTAAAAAGAATAGAGAAAGTCATGCGAGAAAATGATCTTCAACTGAAAAGAAAAAGAGAAGAAACAATGCCCTGGGACGTATTGATATATCTGGTTTGAGTGATTCGCTTATTTTAATGGCGTTGTTTTTTTGGTAGTGCGTACAGTGACAAGGGTCTTAACTTTGAAGTCAACTCGGCGGTGATTTCGGCCTCCACGGACCCGAAACCTCCTACAAAATTGAACGATCCTGTCATCATTGCCTCAAGTAACCTCCAGGAAATGGCTGTAAGTTGACGTAAAGAAATTAAAAACCATATTCAATATATATTTTTGTATTTTATTAGCCATATTTATTATTTATCTGTCATTTTTTACATCTTTATGCGCGTTTAAAATAAATTTCGTTGTTTTTTATTTTATTTTCCTTATGTCTAGGATAATGATCAACCGATTTGTGCATTTTGGGACTTCAATTTGTAAGTAGCTCCCGTTAACTTTTCACATGTACAAAATTATGTAACTAAACTAGGAGAATAAACAGAGACCAAAGGAGTGTGTTCGAATTGTAAATTGATAGGTTATGTACGACCTACTGATTTTATTTGTTATGCTGTGATTTTCTTTCTTCGCCCTAAATACTCTGAAGACCAGTCTTCACGTGAATAATGCGTTTGCCTCATTTGTTTACGTTGGCAAATTTACAAAACTACCCCACCTACACAGCACCGCCGTTTCTTTAGCGACTGACCAGATTACGCGCTGAAGTTGGTTTTCAATCTTAGCAGTGTGAAATGTTTTTATCAACCAATGATATTTTACATATATTACAGTATGTTGCAGCACTGCTTCTTGAGTTTTCTTCTTCGTTCTATAGTCCTGTCTTGCCGCGCGATAGAAACCCCTGCCTAGATACCTCTGCTTTAGGTGAATTAACAAGTAGTTGAAGTTACCTTTTGGGTTCAAGACTAGAGAGCTAAATAAGATTCTGAGACGAGGACTACTACGAGTTTTTAATAATACTGAATACTGCTCACGCGTGAACCAGCGTCATTTTGGCGGGAAAACGTGATAGTTGTCGTCATTCTACTACAAGCGAGAATGTCGTAGTGGCGGGAACAAGTTATCAAATGTAAGAAGTTTTATCTTTTTGCTATCGGGAGAGGGCTTAACCTCCTTCAGTATAAATAACCGTACTAAATTTTTGGCGAAAAAAAGGAAAACGAAACTTTTCCGGGCTGTCTTTATTTTTGAGAGCACACGCAAAAACTTCCTCAAATCTAAAGTTCTCTATTATTGTTACAAATGTACCGATTGTAACTTTACGCAGGAATGCCCCGCATGGAGGGTGGTCTGAGGAAGGCTGCAATACAACTAACTACAACACCCTGCGAACAACGTGTCAGTGTGATCACATGACTAATTTTGCCGTTTTAAGAAGTAAACCTCTTCCCCCCGTGGCGATCACGGTAAGTAGTCAGTGCGTAACTTACGCTTTTATGTTTGCCTCGTAGTGCTCAGTTCAGAACGAATTGTGTATTTAAGTGTTTACTAAAAACGTCACTCCTTGTGTACTAACTGTTGACCTCACTTATCTCTTTTGCAAGGGTAAAAATTATAGCAGAAATTCCCGACTTCACTAAAAGCGCAATATTTTTCCCTTGGTCTTCTTTGAGTATGAGTCATTGTCTAGGGCGTGGTTTATTCCGCCAATGAACTGAACAGAACTCGAACCAGATGGGCTGGGTGATAGCGTTGTGGGGAAGGAAGAGGGATAGAGGAACACGCGATGTTGTAAACATTTGATTCAAATGAATCGCCTTCCCTTGAGTAGTTCTTGCGCGTTGTAATCTTGTAATTTCATTTTTTTCCAAAGTTATATTTGAAATTTTTCTTAACTTTGATCCTGCACATTCTGGGTCAACAAAATAATGGGAGCTTCCCGGCCAGTCAGTAGTACAGCAGTACAACTAAAGGATGCACGAACAAAAATTCTCCGCAGTATTTAATCGAAAGCCTGATTTAGAGTTAATGCAGTTGAACCATCTTGAACATACAGAACATAGAAATGACGTAAAATGTTCCGGTTACAGTATGATTAAACTACTTTCTTTACTTTGCATTTATTTGTTTTGTTCTACAGGCAACAGGCTCCACAAGTGACTTTATGCATTGTATTTACATTGCTTGTTGGATTATCATCGCATTTGCTGGACTCACGTTTTTGATTCTTTTGATTGTTTGTTGGTAAGAACCTCTTAATGTATTATGCAGCTTCCACGATCGTACCTTAATTAATCACCCTGCTGGACATTGATAGGTGGTGCTGTTTTGTACACCCTTCAGTGTTTATGAATGTTAAACTGTGATACTCTTCTTAGATTTCTGGCTTAAGTTGATCATTTTGAGTTGTGATTTTGAAAGTTGGTTAATTTTGTGGAAAGTTGTTTTGCGCTCCTTGCTAAGTTACGAAAGGCTGTCTTGTAAATTTCTCAACGGTACGTTTTTATGTAGCTGTCTGTTGCGGGCTCTCTAGAGGGCACTGAATCTTCTCGCCTGAGAATCACTTCCACTTGGTACTTTTTATCATGCTGTTCAAGGTTAGGCTGCGCCACAGATGAAACTAAACTCTGGTAAAGTCCGTCTGTGAAAGAGCGCCGAAATCTTTGTTAGGAGCCTTCACCTATGTATCAAGATTTAAGTACGCGCTATTGATTGGCCTGTTAAAAAAGCCATTGTCGATTTGCCAATCAGGATGAAAGGTGATTGGAAACGCACTTCCGGTAATCCGTTGGGTCCCGGTAGTGGGCCCGTCAAAGGCGCAGGCTAGACGCAGGCTAGACGCTGGCTATAAACCTTGTTAAATTTAATGCTTAAGAAAAAGCTGTTCAGGGTTGATATCACTCAGCCGACTTGAAACATTGTTCCCTCAATGTCACAAGGGTAGGAGGGGTCTGTGACGATGACGTCATATAACGTCATTTATCCGACAAGCCGCTATATTTGATCCACTAGTTTGTTTGTTACGATTTTTGCTTTCCTTGTGCTGGGTGTATGGGATGAATTGTGTGAATTTCATCCTAATTTTGCGTATGTATTTTTGCCTCTAGTTGGTTGAAACCCGATCGAACATGGGCGATGCACATGTGTGTTTGTGCTTCTATTATTGTCACCTTTGTTTTAGTCCTTTTTGGTCTGACGTCTTATAACGACTTGGTAAGATCACAATTTATACATGGTATTATTCAAGTTTTTTAATGGTAAAAATCAATTCTTTTGCCACGCCGTGCTATCGAATTATGTGAAACATCAGGCGAATCGACGGGATACCAAATGCTACCATCTACAGCCTCACAGAAACAGCTCCTCTTATTAAAAGAGTCAGACTTCGGCAATTGAGTTTGCTTGGTCACGTGCTCCGCTTGCCTGAAAATGAGCCTGTCATAGAATTTGCAATGTACAGTCAACTCTCTCTAAGACGGACTCCTTTGGGACCGGCACTAAGTGTCCGTCTTAAAGGGGCGTCCGTCTTATAGAGAGTCAAATAAAAGGGGTAAATAAATGCAGGGACCAACTCTAAGTGTCCGTTTTTCAGAGGTGTCCGTCTTATAGAGGTGTCCGTTAAGAGACAGTCGAGTGTATGTTCCCTCTTCATTGTTTTCTGGGGGATCTTGAAAGCTTGCTAAATGACAATCAGCTGTTGGAAATGGCTCAAGACCGCTTTCGGTGGAGGAAACTTGTGGTCGACTGCTTTGGAGCCGAATGATGATGATGAAGATATTATTTTTTACAATACCGTAAATCTTCTATTAAAAGACAATCAGGGGGGCTTATTTATTTCACGCCCATTTGAGGGGGGGGGGAGGGCTTAATAGAGACAGGGGGGCTCATTTTAGAGGGAGGGGGACGATGGTATCAGTTCTCCATAAAGAACTAGAATACAAATTGGAGAAGCTCAAGAACAAGAATGTTCGAGGTCATGCAGCTGAGGATCAGAAGCAAATCTGAACTTCCAGTTGGTAAATAAACCATCCTGGATAAGTCCACGCGAAGTTTTACACGCATGATTGATTAGTACAGTCTCTCATTTATTAGTGAAGAATAATCAGGGGAGGGGAGGGGAGGGGAGGGGAAGCTTATTAACTTTTTTCCCCTGAAAAGGAGGGGCTTATTAGAGGGAGGAGGCTTATTTGAGAGGAGGGGCTTAATAGAGGATTTACGGTATTGTTATTACATCCTTACAATCCTCTCTGATATATGAATTGTCAATTTTTTGTTTGTTGGAGATGAAGGGGCTATGTCATGTTCAGTTTACATTAAGTTTTTGGTCAAAGCTGAGCAACTGAATTATTACTAGTTATTCTCACTCATCTTTTGTCATATTTGGAACTCTAAAAGAGAGATATCAAATGACTCTACCAAAGTGGAAATAAAGCATGATTGTTTTTTAGTCACAACACACAAGAGTTTAACTTGAAAAAATGGCCCAATTTTTTCAAGTTGCAATCCGTTTTCATTCGGGTCATCGAAAGCCAAAGATGTACACTTATAGTTGAGTTACATTAGCAAAGTAGTTTTAGGTAAAACTGACAAAGATTATTTCAGGGTTTTCTTTGACTGTCGTTCTCTGTTCATTCTACAAAAATGTTAGTTGTTTCACGCCAGTTTTATACAAAAGAATTATTTTGAGCTGTTTTTATCTGCCTATTTTCTTTTTTGGGAAAATTCTCAACTTGAATCTGACGTTTTCCGTTTGCCGTAAACGTGACTCCAACTCTCTTTAACCCTTTAAGTCCCAATAGTGACCAACATCAATTTTCTCCTAACAATATCCATACGTTGTCAGGAGATAAGTTGTGAGAATTAATAAAATGATCACCCAAGAGAAAATGCCAACTAGAAAATAATTTGAGAGAGTTGAATAGAGATTCCTTTACGTACTTATAGTCACACCTCTTAAACATACACCTATAACCCCGAATTTCCCAATTATGGGATACACTACGGTCTGGGGTTGGTGTTAGTAATACAAATTTGAATCGAACGATTCACTCTGAAGGTAGATTTGAATGGATAAAACCGGAAACCGAAATTTTGATAACCAAAACCGTTTGCTAGTGAACAGCGTGTTTTCTCAGTTCTTTGTCGTTCTTCCTTTTTTAGGTATTGTGTAACCTCTACTCGTTTTTGGCTCACTATTTCTATTTGTGCGCGTTTTCGTGGATTTTAACCGAGAGTATTTACATGAGAATCTGGGACACCATTGATGGACCAAAGAAAAAGTACTGGATTGGTTATTTCTTGCTCGGCTGGGGTGAGTACTGAACACTATTCTTACGATTCCTGAATACTTGAAAGTTACCTAAAGTTGATTGAGGTTCAACTTAATTTTTACGTTTACGCGCGAGCTTTTATTCACTGCCTCTGTTTTACTTACGCGCGCAAAGTTTACGTGCGTACGCAGTTAAAAATTACGCGGCAGTGGAAATCCACCTTTACCTTGACCCTGAATCTCTCATATTGACCCCATGAGTCAACACTTTCTCTTGTAAGGTTTGTCATAAAGAAAAATTGAAGCGCCTAGTACAGAATATGTTAAGCACCTTTTACAGAGCCTCATGAATGATAAAGCAAGCACGGGTTAATAAAATCTATTCATACGGTAGTCAAAGATTTTAATATGCCGGTTTACCTTAAACAAATACCTTTCGCAAGTGTATAAGATTATTTAAAACATTCTTGGTCACTTGCCGCCCAATAATTGCAATCTACGGATATGAATACGAACTATCTAGACTCAGTTGGAAGGCGGGCTTGGATAGCACTGAGGCGCACCAGGATCATCGGGTTTGCACCCCATTTCACCTTGAGCAAGGACCACGTACTAAAATGCTTTGTAAACTACAATGCCGGACAAAAGTAGTGCGACAACAGCAGTTCATTTTAATGTTCAGAAACGATGGTTTTCCCCTTTGCGAAATACCCCTCGTCTCTCTATTCAGTGTTGAGATATAACAGAGAACAAATAGGCGCAAAAAAACTTTAGTTTTGTTCAATATTGGGCATGGAGGGCTGGGGGAAGAAGGAATAAAGAGGATAAAAGAAGCAGCCTTCCCAACACTTTTGATGATGATTTTAGTGGACAAAGATGACGGTTTTTTTTATTGTTTGTTGTCTTCAAGGCTTACCTGGCATTCCAATGCTAATTTCATGGTTGATCGTCAAGCTTACTAAATTCGAAAGCTATATGTCGTAAGTATAGCTGTTCCATACTTTCTGAGAGGTGCAGGTTAAAAGTAAAACATGTTTTAGTGATTAGAACTGTAACTGATGTCTTGTCTCACTTGGGAAAAACAAAGCCTCATCAACCTTTGTGAATCCGCGAAACCCGCAGAATAGTATTATATGTGAATGCCGAATACACATAGGCGCGGTTCTTCTTATTTGTAAATAATGTAGATTTTCCTTATTTGAGAATAATCATATCTTACTTTAATTTAAAAAATAGGTGTTGGATGTCTATATTCAATCCTTTGATGTGGGTGTTCTTTGCTCCGGCAGTTTTTTTATTCCTGGTATGTAATATTTTTGTTTCTCAGAGTACTGGTAACAAACGTTGCTGACTTGTCTTACAAGTTTTTTCCATTTTCTGCAGATCGCTTGTATTGTCTTTTTGAGAGTATGGAGAGCAATCACGGGTCTACCAAGACAAGGCCTCAAACAATATTATTACAACACAAGATTCAGGTATCACCAATCAACCCTTCCCTCAAACCGTCAAGGCCTTGTTCTGCTCAAATTGGGCGTGGAGCCGCAACCCTATCTCGGTCAGTGCTACTTGACTGCCTTGAAATGCGGCCATTTGTAGCACTTTTTGGAAAGATTAAAAAAACTTGCACGATGTTGAACTTTGTATTTATATAATAATTTATCAATTTGAAACCTAGTTCTTAGATACATTGCATGAACAAAAGCAAACCTGCTTTTCCCGAATAAGCTTCAGATTTGTAAGACTGCTCTTACAAGTTTAAGGGCGACAGAACAATCCCTTTGAAACTGAGTTCAATTTCGTGTTGTGTTGTTGAGGATTTTGTTTTTAATCTGTCATGTCTAAAAAGGCCCACTTATCGCAAACTCACTAAAACCGACAGGTCTTAAACAAGAGTAGAGATCTGCGCCCAAACAGTAAAAAAAATAGGGCTTTGAATTAAACAGTGTACAGAATTCCATCCAAACCTTAGTTCGTCATTTTCACTGTAAATGAAAGTGGTCATTTTTTGTCTTTTTTCAGAGTTCAAATTCGTTACTGTATTATTCTTATGGTCATGTTTATCGTCACGTGGCTGGTGGGAATTCTTCTGGTTCAATACTATTGGAAGGCCTTGTTGTGCATTTTGTTTATCATATGCTGCGTAATCACGGTTAGTGTCACACATTCTTCATGGGCTTATAGTGTTTAGGGGTTGTTCCAGATATCTGTGTTACTTTTGCTTTCGCCCTCTTACACTTGTTATTAGACCCACTTTTGCCTTTAATGTCAATTTGCTAACTTTTGCCTGCTTGACGCAGACTGCCCACCACGTCTTTTAGCCTGAAATTTCCCTTTTTTTCCGTTAGTAGGTTCAACTTAGATAAATGAGAGTATTTAGTAAATAAGAGTGTTTCTGATGTGTGAATTGGTTTCTGTTTTCAGGGATTCATGATTTTGTTATTTTACGTCATCATGAATAGACAGGTTAGACATGCCATTTTGTAATTTGTATCGTTGCGGTACATTTATTTTCCTATTAGTTAGGCACCCTAAATCACTATGGAATCAGTGAACACTTTTCATTCAACTAAGTTATTCTTGATTTTACTCCCGGACCATGTTCCCCAAAATACAGAGCCCCATCAATCGATATAACAACCCCACACAACCCACAATCCCTTGATTCGTTTTGACAAGAGCTCATGCTCAATCCTCTTCGCGGTGGTAAATTTACTTTATGGACTCATCTGAGAAAACCAATCTTTTTGTTTCACCCTCTTCCTCCCCTCCCCACCACACACACACTCCAACAGAGCTCAACGGTTTCTTTAAAAAGCAACCTCTACATTTGGCGTTACAGGGGCGGATCCAGGATTTTTTTTAGGAGGGGGTGCACTCGTCTCTTGCTCTACTTCAACACCAATAAACCACATTTTTTTTTTTTTTTGCAGAATATCATTTGTATTAGAAAACCGCGGGTCATCTCGGGAGGGGGGGGGGTGCGCACCCCCTGCACCCTCCCCCTAGATCCGCCCCTGCGTTACCATTGTTTCGTTTTATTTTCAGGTTCGCGATGCTATTAAGAGTTGCTGTTGTTACTGTAGACGAGGCCGCCGAGGAAACTACTGGGTGCGCGGAGAAGAAGTATCTATAAGGCAACCTGAAGAAGAGGTTAGAGAATGCGTTATTCGTGTCTTCATTTCGTATCTTTCTTAACTGTCAACATAAAAACCCTGCCTTACTTGAATCATATATGCTGCAAGCAGTGACAGAAGCCATCGCGAATAAGCCATTTCGTATTTCCATTTTTCGGTACAAGAGATTTGTAACAACACTTTTGCTTATTCTTGTTTCGGAATACTCTCGATAGAACGCACCCTTAACGTCTTCTTGGCATATTTAAGGCCGTTATATTTTTCCTGAGTCAGTCTGTTTTAGGTCACGTGCATTGTATATCATCATAATAAATTAACTGCAAGAGTCATCGGAACAGAAACCAGGCATTACGCCTTTTAGGGTTATCGGGTATTTATTGTTCGCTTCTTTGCTTTGTCAGTATCGGCAGCAACAGAGGCTGCAAGAACGGGAATGGTTAGTCCCTGAGCGCATGGAGCAACAAGAACAACACCCAGACATGGATGTGGACGGTGATGACAAGTCTCACGAATACGAGGAGCCCTTCTTACGACAAGAAGCGAGGCCTGTTCTCATGTATGAGGGAAAACGATCGCTAGACTCTTCTACAGAGAGTTTCGATCCGCTGTACGATAGGGTGACAAAGTCGTCAGCTGTTGCTGTTGAGGTACAGCCTGGTCCATCGACTGAACAGGAGAAAAGTAAGACAGAACCAGTGTATGCTCAGGTAAAACGCTTAGAAAATTCCTTTTATACAATGGCGTAAACCCAGAATAACCAAAATAAATAAGACGTATTTCTCAAAGAAATAGATTAAGTGCGTTTCTTGTGATAGGACTTAGACCTCGAAAATCTATTTAATATAAACCTTCGCTGTGGCTCAACTTACCATGACTGAGTTTGAATATGTTGTAGTTAATTTTTTTTTCATCTCAGGTAATTTTTATTTTTCCGTTGTTTCAACTTCCTCAGCATACATTACCATACCCAGATCAGCCTGAAACAAAGGAAAAATAATTAACTACAGCATACTAACTACAACATATATCTAGTACAGTACGTGCTCCCGTGTTTGATTTAAGTTTGAGTCGTAAGTGAAACTCCCAAGTATAATATTTACTCAAGATGTAGGACTTCGAAAAACAATGAGTAAAAACCTTTGTATAAAACCATTGTGGAGACGTTATTTTAAGAGGGCAACAGTAGTCTGCGAGCAAGCTCTCCGGGGCGCTCTGGCGGCGGGGCGGTAAAAAGGAAGGAGAGCTTGCAATTACGTCGTTGGAATTTGAATTCCACCTCCAATTCCCCTGTAGCTCCCGGTCGACTGAGCTGTCAGATTTCCACCCATCAGCGCGAATGTAAACGGAGACAGAAAAACACGTTCCAAGGGTAATAACGTCATTACTGTCATCTCCGCCAATCAGCATTTCGCATCTGATTTTTCGATGCAGATATTCAAATTCCAGAGAGGTAGTTGCAGGGTCTTTTTCCTTTTCGCTCCCTGCCGCCAGAGCGCCCCGAGGAGCTTACTTGCAGGCTAGGGTAACACTTGACAGGGTAATACGAGTTGACAGTTATAGTGGGAACTCATAAACTCTATTATGGCCATTAAATAATGCAGACTGAAGTAAACTTTATTTTCCCTGTGGTAAGTTTGAAATAAGCGCCTGAGACGTTTTATAGCGAAAACCATGCACTAACAACAACAGAGCTGACTTCTCATTGGGAGTATGAAGAACGATTAGCTTGGGCACAGTTATTTACACCAAAGCTGTCTTAAGAAACTTCGACTTGACCAATGTGTCTTTTTGTTTTGAGCAGGTTGTCAAACCAAAACGCCTAAGACATCCTGAGTCAGACAGTGATGACGATGATGATGAACTTTTAACTCCCGAGGAGCGGGAAGCCCGCGGGATGCGAGGATTAACTCGTGAACAAGTCATTCGCATGGCCAAGAAATCAGACGCTTCTAAGAAAGTTCTGAAAACGTACTACGAGAGTCCCAAAGGAAGCAAGGAAGACTTGGGCGGACCGGTTTACTTGTTGAACCAGGCTGAGATGGATGAAGAACTGAGGCAATTTAGATCGTTCTTTGCTCGAGACAAAACACCTCTCTCATCAGAGCCTACCACAAGCACCCCGAAACCGGACGATGCTTCGTCTACGCCTGGTGGCACCACTTTCAAAAGGGAAACATCGATGCAGGTCCATCAAAGCTACCAGAGGATGGAAAGCACGTCGAGTTCGATATCGCAAAGAACCTTTAGTGCAGCGGAGAGCGAAAGGACGGTCACAAGTGTAAGCTACAAAGAAGAAACTAAATTCGAGCAGAGTGTTGTCAAGGAGGCAGTGATCGATTCTTCTTTACAGGAACTGGAGCAGAGGTGTGATGCGGATGACGACTCACCAAGTAAAGTTACAGCTGTGGTAAGATTACAGACTTAAGGCTTCTAATCGGGCGGCACCCTGCGAGAAGAGCCTCGTTTTGTCTTCTCCTTGATCGAGAAAGAGAAAATCAGCCTGGTCCATCGACTGAACAGGAGAAAAGTAAGACAGAACCAGTGTATGCTCAGGTAAAACGCTTAGAAAATTCCTTTTATACAATGGCGTAAACCCAGAATAACCAAAATAAATAAGACGTATTTCTGAAAGAAATAGATTAAGTGCGTCTCTTGTGATAGGACTTAGACCTCGAAAATCTATTTAATATAAACCTTCGCTGTGGCTTGTTTCCTCAACTTACCATGACTGAGTTTGAATATGTTGCACTTAATTTTTTTTCATCTCAGGTAATTTTTATTTTCCCGTTGTTTCAACTTCCTCAGCATACATTACTATGCCCAGATCAGCCAGAAACAAAGGAAAAATTAATAATTAACTACAGCATATTAACTACAACATATATCTAGTACAGTACGTGCTCTCGTGTTTGATATATTGGGTTAAGTAAAAACCTGCAGCAGTAAAAGCTTGAGTCGTAAGTGAAACTCCCAAGTATTTACTCAAGATGTAGGGCTTCGAAAAACAATGAGTAAAAACCTTTGTATAAAACCATTGAGGAGACGTTATTTTAAGAGGGTAACAGTAGTCTGGGAGCAAGCTCTCCGGGGCGCTCTGGCGGCGGGGCGGTAAAAAGGAAGGAGAGCTTGCAACTACGTCGTTGGAATTTGAATTCCACCTCCAATTCCCCTGTGGCTCCCGGTCGACTGAGCTGTCAGATTTCCGCCAATCAGCGCGAATGTAAACAGACACTGAAAAACACGTTCCAAGGGTAATAACGTCATTACTGTCATCTCCGCCAATCAGCATTTCGCATCTACTTTTTCGATGCAGATATTCAAATTCCAGAGAGGTAGTTGCAAGGTCTCCTTCCTTTTCGCTCCCTGCCGCCAGAGCGCCGCGAAGAGCTTGCTTGCAGGCTAGGGTAACACTTGACAGGGTAATACGAGTTGACAGTTATAGTGGGAACTCATAAACTCTATTGTGGCCATTAAATAATGCAGACTGAAGTAAACTTTATTTTTCCTGTGGTAAGTTTGAAATAAGCAATCACTAACACTATCAATATCAGAGCTGACTTCTCTTGGGGAGTATGAAGAAGGATTAGCTTAGGTACAGTTATTTACACCAAAGCTGTCTTAAGAAACTTCGACTCGACCAGTGTGTCTTTTTGTTTTGAGCAGGTTGTCAAACCAAAACGCCTAAGGCATCCTGAGTCAGACAGTGATGACGATGATGATGAACTTTTAACTCCCGAGGAGCGGGAAGCCCGCGGGATGCGAGGATTAACTCGTGAACAAGTCATTCGCATGGCCAAGAAATCAGACGCTTCTAAGAAAGTTCTGAAAACGTACTACGAGAGTCCCAAAGGAAGCAAGGAAGACTTGGGCGGACCGGTTTACTTGTTGAACCAGGCTGAGATGGATGAAGAACTGAGGCAATTTAGATCGTTCTTTGCTCGAGACAAAACACCTCTCTCATCAGAGCCTACCACAAGCACCCCGAAACCGGACGATGCTTCGTCTACGCCTGGTGGCACCACTTTCAAAAGGGAAACATCGATGCAGGTCCATCAAAGCTACCAGAGGATGGAAAGCACGTCGAGTTCGATATCGCAAAGAACCTTTAGTGCAGCGGAGAGCGAAAGGACGGTCACAAGTGTAAGCTACAAAGAAGAAACTAAATTCGAGCAGAGTGTTGTCAAGGAGGCAGTGAT